CTAGAGTCTGGAGGTAGATGAGATGAAACAGTTGCTGCACAGACCAATCCGCGAGATACAATTCTCCACACAGTACCTGTGAGATGAGGCCGCTTGGCGAGTGTTACGCGGCCTCGGCAATGGGGGAGGGATGCAACTCGCCCACTCATCAGAGCAGCGATGGAAGTAGTAGCGATAGAAAAGAGAAAGGGAAGATACCTTGCTGCGAATAGAGAGACAATCCAGATTAGAAGTAAGGGAAGGATCATTAATGAGTCTGACTGTCTTAGATACAACCCTATCAAGGAGATAATTATAAGAATAAGCACCCCATATGTGTGAGCAGTATTCTAAGCAGGGATGGATAAGACCTTTATAAACTTTAAGTAACTGTAAAGAGGGAAAGTAATGACGAAAACGAAACAAAAACCCCAATTTTTTGGATAAATATTTAGAAATTTGGATATGTGATTTCTCCAAGACAAGTTAAAGGCTATATGGATTCCTAATATCTTGATAGAATTATGAGGGTGAATTTCGTTAGTTTCGAAGACAATAGGGTTATCAGGAAGAGAAGAAGATAAAGAGATAGCCAGACACTGTGTCTTGGAGGCACTGAGTTTAACTAAATTTTTAGTGCCCCACTCAGATACTCTCTGCAAATCGGAGTTGAAAGTAGAAGAAAGAGTAATACGAGACTGATTACGAGTAGCAGATGAAGGTTGTGAAGAAAAGGCAGAGGAAAAGTGAAGGGTAGAATCATCAGGAAAGGCATGAAGGAGAGAGGAAGATGGGGATTGTCGAAGATCATTGATGAAGAGAAGGAACAGAGTAGGTGAAAGAACAGAGCCCTGTGGAACACCACTGGTAACAGAGGTGCTGGGGATGGCGCTCTTGAAGATGGTCGCATCTGTAGGTTAGAAGATTAAATCGGCCACTGACACCAGGGCTTGCACCATTTAGCATTTGTCCCAAAATATGCATGAGCACGGCAAACTTTAGGGGATTGATTTTGATGAAAAGGATGCAGCTCTTGGGAATATCGGGATGAAGATGACACAGGTTGTCGTTGTGCACTGGCACAGCATTGTACTGTTGACGGCGGCACAACATTAATGAAATTCTCAGAGATGACAAGTAATTCGTCTACAAGCTGACCTAACGCTTGTATATTCATTTCACCCTTTAATGCTAAAACTGCTGAGAGACTGAGTGGGACTGCTTGCAGGAATTTATGCCTCACAAGATCATCGGAAAATCCCAATTTCCTGGCGGTCTGTTGGATCTCCTCTAAATAAAGCGTGGGTTTGCCACACATGACATTATTACTAATTAGTTTACAAAAAATTTCAGTTTGGGTTTACTCATAAAGGATAAACAAATATGCTCTCAGCTGGTCGTATTCTTTCTTCTCTATTTTGGCACTAGGAACACGAGCAAATGTAGGAACAGGTAATGCAGATAAAACGTGCAGAAATTTCATTGTATTAATTTTGATTCCAATAAGTGGGAACTGGGCTTCTTCACAAGCAAACCATCCCGCAACAAAAGTGTCAAGAAATGTTGGGGGTGTCATTGGCATATGCTGAACATAATTATTGTTACCTGCAGAATCCGACAGCAACATCTCTCTGTTGGCGGTATCCATTCTCTGCTAATTAGCTGCAAAATTAGGCTTACTAAATAAAATTCGGCAATCAGTAAAGTCACTCTGGGGTCACCACTTGTAAAGGGAGCTGGTAATAAATAAAGCTTGAGAGAGATACTAAAATACATAAATTATAATTAAAACTATTTTGTGGAAAATACGAGTCCGTAAAAAACAACCATCAAATCTTTCCCTTCCTCTAAAATAATTTTTTTTTTAAATATATTAATGTTTTGTATTTAACAGAAAATCCTATCTGCAATTTGCATTATAATTGAACAAGAAAATATTAAATTACGATTTAGAAATAAAGAATAAATATTTTTACAATATTTACCAAACTTTATTACACTGATACATGTATAATAATAATAATGATGATGATGATAATAATAATAAAAATAATAATAATAATAATAATAATAATAATAATAATAATAATCAATAATAATATCAGATTCTCTGCAGCAATATTTACAAAAGTTTACAGTATACAGCATGATATAAGACTATACTATACTCTCACTGAGCCTTTCAGAAGGTAACTGGATTCGGTTTTACGTCACGAACTCCCTTTTTCTACTAAGGGCTAGGACAGTTGCCTTCTTACGAAGGACTTGTTTTGGCAGATGTAATCGTTACCCTGAGTGTATGCCCTTACTAACCTCAGTCCGTGACGGGGCGCGAACCCTTGACCTGCCCCCATTTTGCCACGGAGACTACCCTTTCAGAAGGTAACTGCTGAGGTTATTTGGCGCAAAATGCAATGCAGCCACTGGTTGAGTCACGACATGCACTCGAATAAGAAACAGATATCGAGATAATACACAGCGCCATAGACTTACCCTAAAATGTAAATCTATATACTCTTTTAAAGCAGAGAGAAATATTCTGGATGCTTATTAGTGTTAATATCAATCTCTAAGCTTTTGTAGATATTATTTCACCCAAGTTTCCTCAAGAGGAACTCCACTAACCTTCTCTTTCTTATAATAAAAATGACAGTGACATAGATTAAAGGTGTACGAGCTATATTCGTAGCCTGTAGTGCAAGAGTTGACCACTATATCCACATAATTACCAAAGGGTGGGCTTCTATTTAGGAAATGTTATTTGCGATAGGCATCTCTATTTTTTTCTTATCTTATGCCATGTACGCACGTAATAGAAACTTCTTATATATCTGTTGGTGAATTATTTTTATCAAATATATTCTGCATATTGAGGGCAAACAAATTTATTCAGGAAATCAACTGTATAAGCAATTCTGGCCTAATAATGCTCTACGCTAGAGGTTATTGTTATCATCTCCTAATAGTGCTGTACGCTAAAGGTTATTGTTATCATCTCTCTCTCTCTCTCTCTCTCTCTCTCTCTCTCTCTCTCTCTCTCTCTCTCTCTCTCTCTCTCTCTCTCTCTCTCTCTCTCTCTCTCTCTCTCTCTCTCTCTCTCTCTCTCTCTCCAGCATGATCTTGCTTAGAAGGTGTTCGTTGCTTCCTTTTTATCCCAACTCAACAAGACAACAAAAGTTTGAAGTGTAGAGTAGAGACGCATATTACTCCCAAGTAAGAATCACTTCATTGAATATACAAACAGATATCTAGGACAGAGGTGGATAGCAAGATATATGGAATGACAGACAGACCTAAGGTTAAGTTTTGTTATGCACGTTGAGTAAAATACTGAAACAAAGGATACCAACGCAAGAACACTGCGCAGTAATTGATATTTCATGTCGGAAACGTAAAAATAATTATTCAGCAATAGAAACGAAATGGGTTACGTGTAAAGGTTTAGAAAATATCGTTATCTGTAAAAAGACCGGATAATGTCCTTCCTGCCACATTGCCAGAGGAACAAAGAGAAAATCATTTGGAATGGAAGAACAAAGAATGACAACTTACTCAGGGGGAAATATTTTATTGAATATAATTTAAAACTGCATAGATCTGTTAGTGTCGTTCGGCATAGGAGAGACGGTGCCATTCTCGAGAAATAATGCTTACATGTTGTCACTGTACGACCGAGCTGATGCCTAAAAAGTGAATAGACAATGAATGGAGAATGAATTGAATCAAATATCAATACTGAAATTGGAATACACAGAGCAATGGGGCAACAACCTAGAAAATACATGAATGATAATGAATTGAATAATTCGATAGGCTATAGAACCTAGAATCTAGACAGTTATATGCTTACACGACAAGGTACGTCTCTTGAACGTAACTTGTTGACCATGATATGCAAACTTTGACGGCAACCCCACTGAAAAAAAAGGGAGCTTAATGAACTAATTACCATGAAAAATATCTCGGCAAAGAGTTCAAACCAAGATGCTTGAAAATAACAAAATATCACTAGGCGCTACAACGGTAAAATCATTGTTCGCAATGCACTCTTAATCCCTAATTATTGAGTAAATCTTTAAGAAATTATATATATATATATATATATATATATATATATATATATATATATATATATATATATATATATATATATATATATATATAACCAAATAAGCACATTACATATGTGAAAACATGAATCTATTTTACCCCGACCGGGACTTGAACCTGGGACTTATTATTACTAAGCCTAGGCGCTACCAACTACACCACAGAAGGCTAAAAGGAAACAAACCTCACAGCTTATATCTGCTTTGCTAGGAATGAATGCATTCTATTTGAATGCCACTATGTTCATATTACAGTTTCCCCAACCTCACTCGTGGTTTTGTTTTCGCATTTAATTCAACTCCCAATCTCATTCGGGATCAATAATAACCAAATAAGCACATTACATATGTGACAACATGAATAATTTTTACCCCGACTGGGACTTGAACCTGGGACTTATTATTACTAAGCCAAGACACTACCAAGTACACCACAAAAGCTTAAAGGGAAACAAACCTCACAGCTTATATCTGCTATGGTAGGAATGAACGCATTCTATCTGTATGCCACTACGTTCATATAACAGTTTCCCCAATCTCACTCGTGGTTTAGTTTTCGCATTTAATTCAACTCCCAATCTCATTCGGGATCAACAATAACCAATTAAGCACATTACATATGAGAAACCATGAATCATATTTACCCCGGCCGGGCCTTGAGCCTGGGACTTATTGTTACTAAGCCAAGGAGCTACCAACTACACCACAAAAGGTTAAAGGGAAACAATCTCACAGCTTATATCTGCTCTGGTAGGAATAAATGCATTCTATTGAATGCCAATATGTTCATATAACAGTTTCCCCAACATCACTCGTAGTTTCGTTTTCGCATTTAATTCAACTCCCAATTTCATTCAGGATCAACAATAACCAAATAAGCACATTACATATGTGAAAACATGAATCATTTTT